TTTGTATTCCCCCCTCTCTGTTTGCTCATGGCTTTCTCTCTGAATATAATCGTGGTTTTCTTAAGCTGTCCGGGGAGTCGTTATTGCCTTACTAAATATTTCATGGTGCACAGCACACCGTACCTGCCAAATGCCTCTTATTTGTTGTCAAAAATAAAGGGTTCGTCCTTCGGAGGGGGAAAGAAAAAAGATAGAAGGTTTCTTCTATTGTTTTTATTTTCAAGTTTCTCGTATGCGCCAAATGCACGGAAACGCTGGAAGCCTAGGAGGGTGCGCCTTTTTATTTGCCGGGGACAAGGCTGGCCACTTGTTTATTTGTGGTTTATTTATTTATTTGCTGCACGCTTTTTTCTATGATTCCCAGCACTTGTTTCCTTGCAGTTTCCCTTCCTATTTGTTCAGAAGGGAAAAGTTCAAAGCGGCTCTGTCAGCAGAGGGAAAAGCTTTGCTGAATACTAACCCTCCAGCGCCCGCCTGCGCTGACCTTGAGCAGCGGTAAACGGTCCCATCGCAAACAGGCATGTGTGTTTGGTTAGGCCAGGTCGGCAGGGGTCAGGGCTCACCTGAGGCCAGCGGTGCGGGGCCGACCTGCCTGAGCGAGGAGTAATGCATTTTTAAAAGGGACATTCTCGCCTTCGAATGGGCCTAATATGGTCTCTGTTTAAAAACCTGTCAGAATCCCAAGCACACACTCCATAAAATATAAATAAGTACTTACTGTTTGCAGATGTTGCTTGTTTTTCATAATGTTTGTATTTGAAGTTTCGAATCCTCACTTCCTGTCAGCCTCCCTCATGCCTCCCCCTCCTGTGTCTCTAGGAACAAGGGGGAGCTTCAGATGGCAATTTCTCAATGAAGACACTTTCTGTCAAATCTGTCAGCATCCCTGGCACAATTAGCATTCTCTTTTTCTTTCTTTTTCTTCTCTCCCTCTCTCTCACTCTAACACAGAGGCTTATTTCTCACCACGGCTTTACCTGTGTGCCGGGGGAGAGCCACCTCTCGTGTTAGTGGCATTTGAAAGAGGCTTAAGTCTCAGCGAGGTGTGATTTTCTAGGCCCTGAACAGCGATGCTGTAACTCGAGAGGCCTGTGATCTGCACACTTAGATTAATTGGAAAGAATTAGGAAGGGGACCACGGGGAGCCTCCATCACCATTCCTGGGGACATTCATAGATGGGGTCTCATACATCTCTGCCACCTCCACCCTGGGAGCCCTGTTGATAATCCATGGTGTAGGTGTCTGATTAATTTCGATGTGCCTTTGGCTGCATCGGGCCATTGGGCCCCTGTCTCTGACCTAGGATTCCTAGCTTTGGCAGTGGTCTTCCCCGTGTCTCCAGCACACGGCCTGTGATTCACTCCACAGCTCCAATCCCTCTCCAAAGAGGATCGTCTGGGGACCTGGTGGAGAGCCTCATCTCTTTCTGTGTGTCTGGTTTAAGACGCTTCTTCCGCCACTGCCTGGCTTCCTTCTTGGTTACTATCTTCTGTCTCGATGGGGATGGTGCGGGATGACTGGACGGGGCCACATCTTTTTGCATGACAAAGTCAGCAGGTCATTTATTCCAGCGTTCCCGTTGGACGGTGCGTGGAGAGGACTGTGGAAGTTGGTATTTGTTCCGCAGCCCTCCCACCATCCGCCTGAACATTTTAATAAGGCACTCTCTTAGAGCACCCACCACAGGATGCGTGAGCTCTCGCTGCAAACCTGTGTACTTGCTGAAATCGGCAGTTTATGCTTGTTTTTTTTAAAGATGCTTATTTCGTACTGCTTATGCAGTCCTCCAGCTAAAAAGGCCAGCACAGCCCTTGTTTCTTAGCCCTTGCCCCTTCGAAAGTGGTGGGTGATGCTATTCAGGTGCTGGGTTCGCTAGACGCCCAAACTCCAGCATGACACAATACGCCCATGCAATGAACCTGCCCATGCACCCCCTGAATCTATTTTTTAAAAGTGGTGGATTACAGGGACCCATGTGAGGTCCCCGCTCTGCCTGTGAAGCTCTTATTACTTAGTTGTCCTGTTTTGAAGCCAGTGGTCACCAAGAACCTCAAGAACTTAAACGGCCGCCAAGAATCAAAGACTCCCCTTCGCCCACTGTAGCCAGCAGATTCAGGACAAATGTTATTCTCTTGCAATTTGCCATAATACCTATTATTTTAACAAAAAGAAAAAGAGACACACACCAAACCCTCCCTCGTTTCTAGGCGGTTTTGGGAGGATCTGATTATAAACACATGCCCAGGACGGCATGTCTGCGTGCCTGAATCAGGTCAGTGCAGTTTGCTTCTTCTTTAAAGCACAGAAACCATAAATCAAGATGAAAATCCGTCAGCCCAAAAGCCTTACCAATTGATACAATTTGAAAATGGGCAGCTGGAGAGGCTGGGGAGAAAGCTGACATGATGACTTTTATAATAGCAGAACGTTTAAGGTTATAGAAATAAAAGGAAGAGGATGAAATCAGGCCCGTTGATCTCTGCCTGCAGGCTCTCTCAGCTCACTGGAAGCTCCAGCAATTATTTCTGCTCCGGCTTTCCCCTCCTTTTTTTCCAGCAGACTGTTTGAAATGAAGCAGAACCAGGCATGGCAGGCTTATCAGTGTCGTTAGCTGACAGGGCGCCCAGCACACCTGCTTTTACTTGCTGCCGTTTCAGGCACTAATGCCACAGAGAATGTTGCTTCGGCCCTTATAATGTGTAAAGATTCATTTATTTCACCTTTTGAACCTGCCTGACCCCCTGGGCTTGTGTTGGGGAGGGGGTGGAGGGCTGCAGAGGGCTTTTTTCCTGGCACTTAGAAGAAGCTGGCAATTAGGGGTCTGGCCCTGGGGCTGTTGCTATGATAGAGGCTTAAAAGAGAGGTAGGAGCTCAGCCAGGGAGGCGCTGGGAGCTGGGACTGGGGGCTGGTGCGGGGCAGAACTCCCTTGGCCGCTGCTTCCCTGACTCCACCATGTCCCATGTGCAGAGCTGTTTAGAGACCCAGGCAGCCTGACTCTTGGAGACCCTACCCCACATCAACACATCATCACAGGAGTTAAAGTACATCCACCTCTCATCTTCAGTGCGATTGATGAAAAGATTTTTAAAAACCATTTTATCTTTGAAGCGATTTGGCTGTGAGTAACTTATCTCATTGATGATGGCTGAGTTTTCTTGGCAATCATTGTGTGAACTTCAGAATTTCTGCAAAGGGAACACTATCTACCCTTCCAATTGTTTTCAATAGAATGAGATTTTTATAAATATTAAATTTAGCCACTAATAAAGTAGACACTGTATTAAGTTTTGCACACATTTAGACATTCAATTACACACCAATTGATTTCAAGTTTATAGTTTGGAACCAAAACAATATATATATTTTGGTCTCAAACATTTTTAATAGGCCGCTGGAAAGGAACTGTAGCCGGATATCTGATACCTCAGGTGTCTAATGATACCTTTTTTTCCCCTTGCCTTATTTTGGTATGGGTTTGCTTCACGTATTTTCCCTTCTATATAAGTCTTAGTTTCCTTGGAATATAAAAAGTGGTTTTTATTGGTGGACATTAAACTCTTTCAAGCCTTTGGTTTTAGTTCCTTCAATTTCTTTTCTTTTCTTTCTTTTTTTTGAGACAGGGTCTTACTCTGTCACCCAATCTCCCAGGCTCAAGTGATTCTCCAGCCTCAGTTTCTCAAGTAGCTGGGACTACAGACGCACACCACTATGCCCAGCTAATTTTTGTATTTTTTGTAGAGATGGGGTTTCACAACATTGCCCAGGCTGGTCTTGAACTCCTGAGCTCAAGTGATCTGCTTGCCTCAGCCTCCCAAATTGCTGGGACTACAGGCATGAGCCACTGCACCTAGACAGTTTCTTCAATTTCATATGTCACGACTAGTACTGGAAAGAGGGGGTCATATTCCTCAACCTTAGCCTGGAAATCGGGAACTTCCTTCATTTCTTAATTTTCCTTCTTTCAAAAAGGTTTACTCTATTGGGCTTCTGTTGTTTATGCCTTATTAGCATGTTCTTCTGTTCTTCCGCGAATAGAACTCAGATTTCCCTTGGGAAAGACATCCTTCCTCACTGCTTCAGTCCCTTCATCTCTAGGAATGGGCACATGACTCAGGCCTGGCCAAAGGGAGCATCCTATTGCCCTGGTCACAGTTATTGGTTCAGTGACTTCTATACTTATTTGGGAAAAGGAGCTTTCTTTTTATACAGAGATTATTAGCTTATAGAGCTTCTAAGAGAACCACCAGGTAGAAAGACCCTGCCTGACAAGAAAGTCAATGCAGAGAAAAACAAAGTGGTTGAGCGAGGGAAGCTAAATCTTAATAAATATCATGAGGGCCCCTGGATTCAGCCATATCCAAAGCCAGAAACTCATACCACTTCTAATATACTCAGTTACATGAATACTTTGCTTAAGCCAGCTTGACTTGGGTTGCTGTCACTTGCAACCAAAAGCATCCTGACAAACACATACTCTGGTATCACTAAGGGGCAAGTCCTACTAGAGAGATTTTATTTCAGCTGCTCTGTTAGGAAACGATTTGAATTAGAATGTGGGACTGGTGGGTGTAGGAGTGATGGGAAGGAGACCAGGGTTAATAGCAAGGAGGATAACGTCATGGAGAGCATCCCATGCACCAAGCACTGACACCTAGAACGAAAGTTTGGGGTTCACATCTTAATCCTTAGGGCACAAGGACCTGGAGACTCAGGGCCTGATGTTGGTTCCTATGGTCTTGGGTTAGGTGTTTCATAAAGTTATTTGTTTCCATTATCTCACTTTCTTCTCTCTGCAACCCGTATGGACTTCCAACCATGAAAAATTCCATTCCTCTGAGTTCTGAACAATTTTCCACCACAGTAGTTAGAATCTCTTACTACAGTGCAAATTCTAGTTAATATTTAGGTAATCAGACTACCTGGAAGGTGTGAAGGGAGGCTGGGGAGGATCGGGGGTGGACATAACTATCAAAGGAAAACAAACTTGTGTCTGTCACAGTTATTTCAAGATTTGGACCTGTCAAAGAAAAACAGGCCTATGTGTGATACAAAAGAGGTAAGGGTCTGGAATAAGTGGGTTTTGGATTATTTCTGCCAGTTTTGGGTCTTGATGTGAGTAAATTTTATGTACATCCCTCCCCTTTCTCTCCATCGTTCCAGCTGTCCTTCTGCTGGGTCTCATGCCTCCTCAAAGTGAAAGGATCTCAAAACCTATCTCAGGAGGTACTTTATTAAAACAGATAGATTGGGTTTCTGGGTTCCTCTCTTGCCAAGGAGAACCCCACCAAATCTTTGATCTTGCAGCGTGGACAGGTGTATGTGCGATTAACTCCTGTTTCCCAGGCTACCCAAATGAGGCAGGTACTAAAAGGAGGGTCCCAATAAGAGTAACAACAATCCCCTGCCCTAAGTCTGCTTCTACTGGTTCTGCGGACTCTTGAGCCTATCTTATTGTTTCTGAGACAAGGTCTTGCTCTGTTGTGCAGGCTGGAGTGCAGCGGTATGCTCATGGCTCACTGCAGCCTTGATTTCCTGGGCTCAAGTGATCCTCCTGCCTCGGCCTTCTGAGTAGCTGGGACTAAAGACACGAGCTGCCATGCTTAGCTAATTTTTTACTTTTTGTAGAGACAGGGTCTTGCTATGTTGCCCAGGCTGGTCTCAAACTCCTGAATTCAAATGATCCTCCTGCCTCAACCCACAAAGCACTGGGATTAGAGGCAGGAGCCATGATGCCTGGCCAAAAATTCCCTCCAACTTTTTTTTTGGCGAGGGGGACGAAATCTCACTCTGTTGCCAGACTGGAGTGCAGTGGTGCGATCTGAGCTCACTGCAACCTCCACCTCCCGGGTTTGAGCAATTCTCCTGCTTCAGCCTCCTGAGTAGCTGGGACTACAGGTGCATGCCACCACTCCCGGCTAATTTTTGTATTTTTAGTAGAGACGGAGTTTCACCATATTGGCCAGGATGGTCTCGATCTCTTGATCTCGTGATCCGCCCACCTCGGCCTCCCAAAGTGCTGGGATTACAGGCGTGAGCCACTGCACCTGGCCATTCTCTCCAACTTCTTAAACTCGCTCCAACGCATTCTGGGAGGTGTCTCCTCTGCATATACTCTCCAGTCTTCTCAGCTACCATCAAGAAGCCATCATTTTTCTTATTTCCCACCCTCAATGTTTTGCAGCCATTGCCGCTGCTGAAGCCACCCCATGAAGTCCTCTCCCATTTCTCCACCTGGTACGTGGCCTCTTCTGTCTTCTGAGTCCATTCACCACTCTAATATTAGCTCCTTCCTGTACCCCGTCACTCTGTGCATCAATTATAGAACAGGTCTGACTTGTGCTCTCAGTATTTCACAGAGATACCAATGAACCAGCTCTTCACATTTTAATTGCTCCTCCTTTTGGCTTCTTCTTCCTAGAAGAAGAAGATTCCTGGGCTGGGCAGGCTGGCAATCTGAGCAGTAGACCGTCCTCCTCTCTCACACTGGCTCACTGTCCTAGCGCTGCAGGTCTGCAGCTGACTTGTCACTTCCTATAGGATGTATTCTTTCCCAGGAAATCTTAGGGCTCAGGGTAAATTACCCTCCTTGCTTTGCTGGACTCATGTTGGGTTTCCTTCCTTCCTTCCTTCCTTCCTTCCTTCCTTCCTTCCTTCCTTCCTTCCTTTCTTTCTTTCTCTCTCTCTCTCTCTCTCTTTCTTTCTTTCTTTCTTTCTTTCTTTCTGAGACTGAGTTTCCCTCTTGTTGCCCAGGCTGGAGTGCAATGGCGTGATCTCGGCTCACTGCAACCTCCACTTCCCAGATTCAAGCGATTCTCCTTTCTCAGTCTCCCAAGTAGCTAGG